AAATTACCAGTAGCGGCTGCATTTCCCACCCTTGGCTTATATTCGAGTCAATACGTTTTCCCAGTTTTTTGTAGTAAAATTAGGTGCCTTGGCTTATATTCGGGTCGGCTTATACTCGAGTATATAAGGTAATTACACTCTATTGTAGTACACTAAATAAAGCACCTATAACAATACAGTAAATGATAAAATTAAATATATACATCATATTTATAACCCATTTCAAAGCAGATATTGGAGATATTTCTGCCTTGATATTCTGGGTTATATAGCTGCGTGGAAGGACCCATAGTTAAGAACTGAGATGAGGCCTCTTCCACACAGCTGTATAAAATCTTCATCATACTCGACTATATGGCAGTGTGGATTTGGGGACCTTCCACACAGCCATATAATCTAGAATATCAATGCAGGAAATTCCACAATATCTGCTTTGAACTGGGTTATCTGAGTCTACACTGCCATATATTCCAGTTCAAAGCAGATAATGTGAGATTTTATTCAGCTGTGTGGAAGGGGCCCCAGATTATCTGTTTATCCCAGGTTATATGGCAGTAGGGCCTAATATATTCCAGTTTAAAGCAGATAATCTGGGATCATATCCTGGGATAAAGGGCAGTGTGGAAGGGCCCTCAGATAACCCAGTTCAAAGCAGATATTGTGGGTTATCTGCCTTGATATTTTGGGTTATATGGCCGTGGGGAAGCGACCAGAGACAACAGGAAGAGAGAGAAATCTTCTAAAATTGGAAATTCACTCCTGAATGAATTTTATTACGGTTTCAGGGCCCTTCCACACAGCCATATAACTCGAGGCCATTATCTCAGGAGCATCCGCGTTGAAAAAATGCAGGTGTTCCTGGGGGCCTATCCACACATACCCCAGAAATTGCACGCTTTCAGGGGTGGGTGTCCAGATGTTCTTCTGGGACACCGTAACCCCCTCCCCAGAAGCACCCCAAAACAGAGTAAGAAACAGAAGAACTCACTCCTGGTTTGGGGCAAATCAATTCGGATTTGTCTAGGATATCGTCTGGACAACCTCCTTTTCATTGCGGAAGTTTCCGCATTAAAGGGGCTATCTAGATCCGCCCTCAGAATACCATGGCAGATAACCCACAATATCTGCATTGAACTGAGTTATCTGAGTCCACATTGCCATATAATTCAGTTCAATGTGGATTTTATGCAGCTTTTTGGAAGGGGCCTAATTGCTTATATGTTTAGATTGCTTCTATTTTGATGAGATGTGTTTATTATTTACCTGTGTGGCATTGAATTTTGCTGGATTTGTAAGCTGCCTTGAATTCCCTTTGGGGTAGAAAGGTGGGGTAGAAATTAAGTAAGTAAGTAAGTAAGTAAGCAAATAAATAAATTCAAGTACGACTTAATGTCTTATACAAACCTTAAACTCGTGTTTTTTAAAAACCTATTTGAATCAGTGAATTTTTGCACCAATGTGACTGACGAAATTTTTATTGATTGAAGTCTGCTCTAATGAGGAATAACTATTAGATTTAGAGCAATGCTTCCCAAAGTGGACGATATTGCCCCCTAAAGGTTGCCGGAAAGATCCAGGGGGAGTAGTAGCAATATGGGGCCGTCGAATAAAAATAAAGGGGTGGTGGGAACATAAAGAAAGGCATGAAATTTTTGTAATATAGAGTTAAAAGGGGTTACTTTATTATCCAAATGAACACACAAAATACATGTTATTACTGAACTGTGGTCAAGTTCGCCAAGAGGTCTTAACAAAAAGTGTTGGCAAGCACTGTTGTCATGCATTGTTAGGAATTCCAGCATGCATTGGCAGGAATATATGCATGTAATGACTATAAATAGGCAACACGTATGAAATCTGATGTAGATTGTTTCTGAATTGTATGGCAATCAGTTAATAATAGTGCAAACACAGTAATTATTTTAAAATTTTAATTCATACTGCTGACAAAAATAGAACCAAACATGAATAAATGGATAGCAGTGCATCAGGTTCATCCTTCTTATTTAGGATAATTCATAACTTTAATTTTAATGTTATCCTTCATTACATTAATTTTCTGTGTGCAATTTGAATATTACCAAGCCTTTGGACAGTAATTCAGTGCAATAAGTGGATACAAAATAAGAGCAATTACGACTGCAATGGTTCCTGGACTATGATTTTGGAATGTGTGGCTTTAATAATTTGTTTTATTGTTTAGATGTTTTTTAACTTTATGGTTTTTAATGTGTATTTTATTTGTATGTCTGCTTATGCAGCATTGAATTGTTGTGTACTTGTCCGCTCTGAGTCCCCTTCCGGATGAGAGAGGGCAGGATATCAACATAGTAAATTAATACATAAGTTACGATAGTTGAATTTAATAAATAACTATATAATTTCAAGCAACATATTTCTATACTATGTTGTAGGAAATATACCTATTTATTTATTATTTATTTATTTTTAGCATAGCTCTGTCTAGAACAAAGTGAAGAGAACTGTTCAAGCAACCAATCACGCTGAAGTACTTTTGTAACAAGTCACGTTTTTGTACCTCTCAGGAGTGGTTAGTTGTCTGTTTTAAAAATAAATCCTAATCTATTTAACTTTCAACAAAGTGTCTACTGTACATAATTCCATTGTCAAGCTTTTATGATAGTTCCAGCAATTTTAACACCCTGTTGCTACAGAAAAGCCTCTCAACAAACAGTTGTTTGGGAGCCAGGGATAAGAGCAGTGTTGGCAGGAGTGGGAAAAGTTCACCTCATTTTTTTTTTTTGGAAAATCCTAAAACACCTTAGGTTGGTGGCAGCTTTAATGCAAAGGAAAGTTTAAAGACAAGCATTGTTCACTTCACCATAACACATATCCATCATCATCTCGCTATCATATTGGAGGTACAGGGGTGGGTTTTTTTTTTTAAGGAAAGGAAAACCTCTGGGAAGATCCATCCTGCCCGGACATAATATTAACACGTCTCCAGCCTCGCGTCTTTTTTTATAATTGTCAATCCCCCACATCAGATAATCTGAGAAGTACTGTTCTAGATCATATGTAGGTTTACTCACAAACACATCCTAATGAATTCATTTGTGGCTTGTCCCGATTAAATGTTTATAAAATTACATCCTTGGGAAACAACTGCATGCAGTCTTCTGACTCAGGTTAATGTTACAAGGATAAGGATGTTGCTGTGATGATTTTACTAACAGGTTAATTAAAGGTGTCACCTGAATACAGTCATCTAGAGATTGCTGTCTTCAGAATAAGGCTTTAAGAGGATCTGAAAGCAGCAACCTTAGTCTCATTAAACTTGGACGCTAATGACACCTAGTCTGATTAGATACAAGCAAGGTTGAAATTCAATGACTTTGAATCTACAAGACATGTCTTAACCAACAGTACATCAAAGCTGTAGCCTTCTATTTAGTTCTGGAAGATATAGGAGTCCTCACTGGTGCACTAAACTTATCTGTATTATATTTACTTCAAAATGTTTGTGTTTATAGCTGTGTGAGTTATATTTTAATGTTAAGCTTCACTTTAATTTAAAGAGCTGTTGAAAAATAATTCATCTGATCTTGCAGTGACAGTGTTTACACATATCTCTTCTCATCTCTTCAACTTTCTTGAAACACTGCAATTCTGTTTTACAGATGGCAGAAGGTGTTTACAATCCGTATATGGAGCAAACTTGCAAACTACTGGAATAAGGCATTCCTTACTATTATAGTCCTATTAATTGTTTTATTTCTTGGTAAGTAGGAAATCTGTTTTTGAATATTACCATCAATATGTACTGGATACATAGCAATTGAGAACTGAAGTGCCGTACATACTCAAATATAAGCTGAGTTTTTCAGCCCATTTTTGAGGCTAAAAAAGCCCCCCCCCCCTTTTAGTTATTTATTTATTTCCGGTATTTCTACCCCGTCTCTTCTATACCCCCGTAGAGGGACTCAGGACAGCTTACATTTGGCAATGATTCAATGCCGCTATATATAAACAATTACAATACTACAACAACAATTAAAATACATAAAGCATTAATTAAAACAGTACATAAAGCATTAATTAAAAAAATAAAACAGGATCATCAGCTGTATCGGCATTCCAGTCAATTTCCAACCAAAGTGCTAAATTATGTCTGCTGTCCGAAAGCCTGGTCCCAAAACCACGATTTCAATTTCTTCCTGAAAGTCAGGAGGGATGAAGCTGAACTTATGTCATTTGGAAATGCGTTCCATAGGCGGGGGGCCACAGCCAAGAAGGCCCTGTCTCTCATCTCCGCCAGACGCCTTTGCGATGTTGGCGGGAGCGAAAGCAGGGCCTCCCCAGATGATCTTAAATTACGAGATGGGATGTAGAGGCAGATGCGTTTGGACAAGTAAGCTGGGCCAGAACCCTTGGCTTGTATTCGAGTCAATGTTATTTTTTATTTAACATTATTATTATTATTATTATTATTATTATTATTATTATTTTGACACAAAACACAGTATGTCACAGCAAATGAGATATATTTGCTGGATTTCGTATCACAAAATCACAAGTCGAACACTTCCCAAGCATCTAGGACTGTGTGATGATATTATTATTATTATTATTATTATTATTACATTTATTAATTTAATTTATTATTGTTGTTATTATTACATTTACATTATTTTACTCAGGAGCCCCCTGTGGCACAATGGGTTAAACCCTTGTGCCGGCAGAACTGAAGACTGACAGGTTGGAGGTTCGAATCCGGTGAGATTGTGGATGAGCTCTCTCAGCTCCAGCTCCAGCTCTCCATATGTGAACATGAGAGAAACCTCCCACAAGGATGGTAAAACATCAAACATCCAGGCGTCCCCTGGGCAACGTCCTTACAGACAGCCAATTCTTTCAGACCAGAAGCAACTTACAGTTTCTCAAGTCACTCAGAGTTACCTTAAATTACAGTTTTATGTAAATATCAAAAAAACATTTAACCCACTGATGCTTCAATTAATGTAGTTTTATTGGTATCTATTTTATTTTGAATTTTACCAGTGGCTGCTGTATTTCCCACCCTCAGCTTATACTCGAGTCAATACGTTTTCCCAGTTTTTTGGAGTAAAATTAAGTGCCTTGGCTTATAATTGGGTCAGCTTGTTCGTTTGTTTCTTTGAAACATTTACAAATAAATAAACAAATAAGCCGGCAAACATTAATTGCCGGGACATAAAACTATAAATATACACAAACATTAAAATCACTTATATCTACTTAAAAATCAGCTGTTTAAAACCATCTCAAGATACTGTCGAAGGCTTTCATGGCCGGAATCACTGGGTTGTTGTAGGTTTTTCCGGGCTATATGGCCATGTTCTGAAGGCAATTTTTCTCCTGACGTTTCGCCTGCATCTATGGCAAGCATCCTCTGAGAAATTGGGAAATTGTTGTTTGGGAAATTGTTTGGGAAATTGTTTATATTGATTTTTGTGTACATGGATAGAAAAAGTTATTGCTATAGAATTGGCTGAGCTGCTCATTAAATCATAAAACAAGCTTAAAATTTGCTACAGAAGTAGCAAGAAGTGATTTCAAAAGAATCAACAGGTGGCACTATTTCTCTTTAGTTACTCTCAAATTAATACAGACAAGGAAACAACTTGTCTTGGGTTTCTGGAAATTGTTTTCTTTCAAACAGGACTGAGCAATGGTTTGCCCTATGAATGTTTTGGACTACTAGTCCTATAATCACTTACTATTTGCTATATTGTTTGTGGTTTCCAAGAGGTGAAGTCCAAATTTTTTGAGCACCCAGATGTGCATTAACTATTTTCCAAGACTGTTGCACAACTTAGGGCCCTTCCGTACAGGCCCTGATCCTAGGTTTTCTGTTTATCCCAGATTATCTGGCAGTGGGGACTCATATAATCCAGGTTGAAGCAAAAAACCTGGGATCAGATCCTGGGATATAGGGCCTGTCTGGAAGGGCCCTGAATCTTACCAAAAGAGTGATTTAAAAAAACATCATATAAACATGTATGTGAGGAGCATAAATCATGCTTTAAAGCAGGAATACATTCCCAAAAGGTGCCAGCATGATGTAGTGGTTTGGACATTGTACTAGGACTCTGAAATCTCTACTCAACCTTGGAATAAATGTTGCCAAGAAAATCCCAGGCTTAGCTTACAGTTATCATAAGTCAGAAATGACAGAAACAATAACAACTGTCTCCAAAATATAGTTCTGCTTTGGGTGGAAATGGAATGTTGTTGTTGTTTTTTGTTTGTTTGTTTGTTTTTGCAGCAAAGGCTCGGAAGGCAGTTATCCTTCATCCCAAGAAATATGCCCAGTGCTTTTAAAGTGAATATAAAGGAAATTTAACTATAATATCATACTTATTTATTATTTATTTCATATATTTACATCCCGCCCTTCTCCCCACAAGGGGGACTTAGCACGGCCTCACATGAGCATCAGAGGATGCTAACAGCATAAATACCATAAAAATTACAATTCACAATAAAATCATTTTAAAACATTGTAGATCATCAGTACAATTTAATAATATAAATATTTAAAATAAATAAATAATAAATAAGTATGGTACAAAAAGGACTAAATACTTTGCAAAGAATTTAATAATTTAATAGATCAACGTGCCAGTAAAAACCAAGCCGAGCCGGGAGAATCCATGTCACAAAATCCAAATTTCCTTTTCCTATTGCCGCTGGCCTCTAATCAAACACCTGGCCCCAGAGCCAGGTCTTCAGTTGTCTTCTGAAGGACAGGAGGGAGGTGGCCAACCTGATGTCCTTATGGAGAGAGTTCCACAGGAGGGGGGGCACTGCCGAGAAGGCCCTGTCTCTCATCCCAGGAAAAATATGCCCACTCCCAATTCCCATTTTGCTGTAAGTCAATTTGGTGGTATTACTGACACTGCTTTTAAGAAAAAGTAATGTGCAAAATTGCTCTTATTGTGGATGTTTTGTATGTATTACTGAACTAGAAGATAAAAGTTGCCATTAAAAACAAGTGCATTCAATGTTTGCTACTCTATTCACAGATGCAGTAAGAGAAGTGAGAAAGTACTCCAGTATCCACTCAAGTGACAAAACTCCACACATGCCAACCCCCAATGCATTTGATCATATTCAAATGAAACTTTTTAGAGCGCAGCGGAATCTTTATATCTCAGGATTCTCCCTTTTTCTTTGGCTGTATGTATTGTTATGTTTTTTTTAAAAAAAATGATTTTTTATTCCTTTGTAAGAAACTCCATCTGGAATGAAAAAAGGAATTATGCCTAAAATATTTACTACTTAAATATGTGCCTTTTAATGGGATCTAGGGGCTTATAAACACTTGAGAAATGTAGTTGTACAATCAAAATGGTTATTTATTTATTTATGGCATTTATATGCCACCCTTCTCACCCCAAAGGGGACTCAGAGCGGCTTACAATATATATTTTCATACAATATATTAAATTATTAGCATAGTACAATATCAGTATTATATATTACTATATTTCACTATACTATTATATTGTAATATTATTAGTAATAGTACATGTAATGTAAATATATAATTATAATTTAAGTGGGTTGTATGGAGGTAAAATAGAGAGAAATGTGATTCTTAGCTTTCGCTCTAATGATATGATCTTCCAGCCTTTTTACATGTGTGCAGTGCTTCAAATAGGAGATCTGATTGGGTTGTTCCAGGCCGTATGACCATGTTCCAGAAGCATTCTCTCCTGATGTTTCACCCATATCTATGGGAGGCATCCTCAGATGTTGTGAAGTTTGTTGGAAACTAAGCAAGTGAGGTTTATATATCTGTGGAATGTCCAGGATGGGAGAAAGAACGCTGGTCTGTTTGAGGCAGATGTGAATGTTGCAATTGAATGGCCTTGCAGTTTCAAAGCCTGGCTGCTTTCTGCCCGGGGAATCCTTTGTTGGGAGGTGTTAGTTGATCCAGATTTTTTCATGTCTGGAATTCTCTTGCTCTCTGAATGTTGTTCTTTATTTACTGCCCTGATTTTAGAGTTTTTTTAAAATACTGGTAGCCAGATTTTGTTCATTTTCATGGTTTCCTCCTTTCTGTTGAAATTGTTCACATGCTTGTGGATTTCAGTGGCTTCTCTGTATAGTTTGACATGGTTGTTCTTAGACTGATCCAGCATTTCTGTGTTCTCAAATAATATGCTGTATCCAGGTTAGTTCATCAGGTGTTCTGCTATGGCTGACTTGTCTGGTTGAATTAGTTCCTTGATTTGTGTTTGGGTGCCACATTGGTGGTGCCTATATAGACTTGTCCACAGTTGCATGATATACAGTAAACTCCTGCAGAGGTGAGAGGAAACAATCAGGACGAGCTAACACCTCTCAATAAAGGATTCTCCTAGGCAGGAAGCAGACAGGCTTTGAAGCAGCAAGGCCAATCAATGTTAATCAAGGTGGTCAGTTGCAACATTCATGCTTGCCTCAACTAAACAGTTCTCTCTCCCACCATGGACATTCCACAGATTTATAAACCTCACTTGCCTAGTTTCCAACAGACCTCACAATATCTGGGGATGCCTGCCATAGATGTGGGAGAAACGTCAGGAGGGAATGCTTGTAGCACATGGCCATACAACCCGGAAAACCCATGGTAACCCAGTGATTATGGCCATGAAAGGCTTTGACAACACAGTAGTAAATAACTTCTGTCTGTCTATCTTCTATAAAGCCCAGCATATAAAAGTTTTAAACTAGTTTCCTGAAAGTAACAATATTGACAGACTGCTTTCAGAGGAGCTATGCCATATTTGCCTCCAATGGTGCTTAACAGAAAAGGGTTCTCAAACCTGAATGGTTACTACAGTATATGATATTCATAGAATCAGTTGGAAGAGAGAGCATGGGCCATCCAACTCCCCGCTATGCAGGAACAGCACAATCAAAGCACCCCCAATAGATGGCCATCCAGCCTCTATTTAAGGGTCTCCAAAAAAGGAGCTTCTACCACACTCAGAGGCAGTGAGTTCCACTATTGAATAGCTCTTTCAGTCAGGAAGTTCTTCCTAAAGTTCAAATGGAACCTCTTTTCCCATAGTTTGTACCTATAGTTCATATACCAGTTCTGTACTAAAGAGACGCCATTTGAGATTCTATATAATTTATTAACAGTTCAGCTATATTGGCAGAACACCAAATACACTACTGTGTTGTCATGGCAAATACACTGGCAGAATTTTACTATCATAATAATAGTAAAATTAATTTTCCCAATAAAGCAGAGGTATAGAGTGGTTGTAAATGTGATACACTTGTACAATTGTCACAAATTATTTTTAGTTTTATAATAAGGACAAATATATTGCAGTACAGTTCAAACTGAAATTTGGTGTTTTAAATTGCAGTGAAATAATCATGTTTCTGAACACCTGACCAAGCTAGGCTATACAGTGTAATTTTATGCAGCGCAGAAGCTAGAAACAATTGACTTTTCAATGCAAAGCAAACTTTGTAATCCTCCAAAAAATGTTTACACTAAAAAAAGTAAAGACTGTAGTGGAAAATCCCAATTATTACTATGCCTATATTAATAACTCTGTCTTTTTCATGAATTTATGCCTCCCCCCCCCCCTTCTCACAGTGTACTGAGACGTACCGTTTCACTTATCACTATGTTGGCAAAAGAGATGCAAGTCCAGATGACTCTAGAAACAGAAATAGCAGGCACCAGCGAAAAAGCTAAGAAATACTTGGAAGAGAATGAAAATCTTCAGAAAGTATGTTTTATAACTAATTGTGTGGGGATTGTTTGTTTGTTTGTGCATTTCAGTACTGTAGATCCACAAGGGTCCTTTATCTGCACCAGAACATTTATAGGTATGTTTACTGGGATCCCTGCCTTGGATTGGTCTTGTTAAGTCTCTCTATTCATGTTAACACTTAATCTTAAACTAAGCTTTCTTATCCTAAACAGTTGTGTGATGGGGCACGGGTGCCCAAAGGGAATTGCAGTTCCCAAGTAGGTCAGATAAATAAGCAGAGTAAAAACGTGTTATAAAAGAAGCAGATTTAAAAATAAACTAAATTTACAGTTTAAAGACCAGATATGAGTCTTCCAGTATTTTCTGTTGATCGTGGGAGTTCTGTGTGCCAAGTTTGGTTCAATTCCATTGTTGGTGGAGTTCAGAATGCTCTTTGATCGTAGGTGAACTATAAATCCCAGCAACTACAACTCCCAAATGTCAAAATCAATCTCCCCCAACCCCACCAGTATTCAAATTTGGGTGTATCGGGTATTTGTGCCAAATTTGGTCCAGTGAATGAAAATCCATCCTGCATATCAGATATTTACATTACGATACATAACAGTCACACAAGTACAGTTATGAAGTAGCAACAAAAATAATGTTATCGTTGGGGGTCACCACAATATGAGGACCTGTGTTAAGGGGTCGTAGCATTAGGAAGATTGAGAAACACTGCTCTAGTTGTACTCCTGGAGGAAGTTGCCTTGCGGGGTCAGTCATCGTCCGTCTGATGTTAAATGGGTTTGTGTGTCAAATTTCGTCCAGATCCATTATCAGTTCACAGTGCTCTCTGGATGCAAGGTGAACTGTAACTCCCATCATTCTTAGTCAATTCCTCCCAAATCCCACCAGTATTTAAAAGTGTCCATGATAGTTATGTGTGCCAGGTTTAGTCCAGATCGCTAAGGCTGATCTGGCCAGGGTGGTCCATGCCTTAGTCACCTCTAGACTGGATTACTGCAATGCGCTCTACGTGGGGCTGCCCTTGAAAACGGCTCGGAAATTCCAATTGGTCCAACGGGCAGCAGCCAGGATGTTAACTGGGGCCCATTACAGAGAGAGGTCAACCCTCCTGTTTAAAGAGCTCCACTGGCTGCCGTTTATTTTCCGAGCCCAATTTAAGGTGCAGGTGCTTACCTACAAAGCTCTGAATGGTTTGGGACCACCCTACCTGCGTGACCGTATCGTTGTCTACGAACCCACTCCGGTCATCTGGAGAGGCCCTGCTCGTGATCCCGCCCGCGTCACAAGCGCTTGGTGGGGACGCGAGACAGGGCCTTCTCTGTGGTAGCCCCCTGCCTCTGGAATGCCCTCCCGAAAGATCTCAGACAAGCCCCTACATTGGCAGTCTTCAGAAAGAGTTTGAAAACCTGGCTGTTCCAACGTGCCTTTTCAGATTAGGAACCCCAGTGCCAAATCCCCAGAAGCACTTTAGTAGAACCACACTGCACACCACACTGCACACCGCACTTATATTTTAATCCCATATCCCTCCGACACATCAGCACTTTTAATCCTGTACCCCTACTCCGGCCGGCTCAGTTTTAATAATGTCTTGTTGTACTGCTTTGTTTTTATTGTTTCTCTACTTAACTGTTTATTTGCTATGTATTGTATTTTTGTATTGTGTTGGGCTCCGGCCTGTTGTAAGCCGCATCGAATCCCTTGGGAGATGCTAGCGGGGTGAGATGTATTGACCTCAAACAATAGACAGCATGTGGTTTTTTTTTCTTTGCAGGCACTGAAAGAAAAAAAGACTTGCAAGAATGAAAGTTTGTCTGATGCAGAAAATGAGCAGATGAAGCAAAAAGTGGAAAACTTGAAAGAAGAATTAAAGAAAATGTCACATGGTATGTATTTTGCTATTTCACACTGGAGTAATATATACTGTTGCTGTAGTTGGTCTCAGAGTGATTAAAGCATGTTGAAAGTGGTTGGCAAGTACAACAATAATGGTTTGCTTCACTAGCTATTAAACTATCTATACTATTCTGCAATAAGAGATTTGGTATAGTTATTTATAAGCTCATGAGCTGATTTTCAGTAAAGTGTTGCTTGATGACTTTGAGCAATGTTGTGACTTGGTACAAAAAAGCCCATCACACCTAGAAACACAGATTGTTGGGTCTGGGATCAGGTCCTTCTTGCTAAATAGACCATAAGAAACAGGTCAAAATTCTTTGCACCATAGGTATTATTCCTTTAGAAAAAACCAAATGATTATAGTGTCTTTTTTTTCCTCTTGTAATATGGCCCTCTTTGTTATTAGTTTATGTGTTTGACTTGGGCTGTCTTGATGAAGCAACAGTGAGATACAGACAGAGTTTTCCGGATTGTTTGTGTTCGTTCTGGATCTTGCAAGATTTGTCGCATTTCTGAGTATTTCCTGGGCTGAAACGAATGTCTTCAATAACATTACTTGTGACCTTGTGAGGATTGGACTAGTAATGGAAAGGTCTTTGACTGTATACAGAACATTGAATAAACAAGTTGTATTTTGGAGAAAAACGTATTAATACCTCTGAGGTTCAAAGTACAATTAAAATAGCTATATTCTCAGGTCAATGGAATATTTCTGCTAATTGACATGAGTAATTCAAAATCATAACATAGCTCGAAAATAACAAGCCATGAGAACTTTGTGTCCTATTATTTATTCAGCAGGTGCAAAGTGCTCTTTCAACCTCTCCGGAATCTTGTTCATCTGAGAGAGAGTGACTTTATGGCTTCTCAACTGATCTCCTTATTCAAGCTTTGTAGATGTTCAAAATAGACTGTCCTCGTGTAGTTGCATTATTTTTTTCAAATGAAATATCAGGCTTTAATTCCATCAGGTCTCAGTTTGACTGACAGTCCAGAATTTGCGTAGTTTCTTATATCAAAAATTCCAATTCTGTCATTAGATGGTAATGAGTAAAACAGTTAGAATTCACTATAGTTAATAGTCTACCTGTACACTGATGGCACAAATTGGTATGGTTTGTCAAATGTGGCCAGTGGTTTCCACCAAAGCCTGGGATTTTGTCTACAGAGAAATGAAATCACCGTATGCTTCTTCCCTCTTACAGAGTAGTAAAAGCTTAATACATGTATGTGTTCCTAAGTTAACAAGAGAGTGCATAGTTGCAGGTCACAATATTGTCAAGTACAGACAGTCCCCAAGTTACAAATATCTGACAAATGACTCTTAGTTGCAAACGGGAATGAGACAGCAGGAAGTGAATCTACCCCTCAGAAGGGAAATTTACTCCTGTAAGAGTTATCATGGGGAAGCCTTATCGCTAATCTTTGTTTCCACAACAAGCCAAAATTTTCAAAATCCAATTGTCACAGAGACAGAAAGTGAGGTGAAATCTTTTGAACAGGGGCACATACAGCAAAACGAACACAACAGGGGTTGTTGTAGGGTTTTTTTCGGGCTATATGGCCATGTTCTAGAGGCATTCTCCCCTGAGCCCGAAAAAGCTACAACAACCCAGTGATTCCGGCCATGAAAGCCTTCAACAATACAACAGGGGTGTTTACCCTTTCCCATGCTATCCAAAGTTTTCATACACACACACACAAGCCTGGGTTATTTAAAAAAGGCATTGTTTGTTTTTGGATGTTAGGTAATATCAGTTAGGTAATTTTTAAAACTCGCTGTGTATAACAAACACTCTCTTCCAACAACCTAAAAGACGGCTTTACACATGGACTTCACCAGATGGTCAGCACCGAAATCAGATTGACTACATCCTTTGCAGCCAAAGGTGGCGGACATCCATCCAGTCGGTGAAAACAAGACCTGGGGCTGACTGTAGCTCAGATCACGAACTTCTTATTGCTCAATTTAAAATAAAACTAAAGAGATCAGGGAAAATACACAGACCAGTTAGATATGATCTCACTAACATTCCGAGCGAATATACAGTGGAAGTGAAGAACAGATTTGAAGGACTAGATTTAGTAAACAGAGTCCCAGAAGAACTATGGACAGAAGTCCGCGACATTGTTCAGGAGGCGGCAACAAAGTACGTTCCAAAGAAAAAGAAAACCAAGAAGGCAAAATGGTTGTCTGCTGAGACACTGGAAGTAGCCCAAGAAAGGAGGAAAGCAAAAGGAAACAGTGAAAAGGGGAGATATGCCCAGTTAAATGCGCAATTCCAGAGGTTAGCCAGAAGAGATAAGGAACTATTTTTAAATAAGCAATGCATGGAAGTGGAAGAAGACAACAGAATAGGAAGGACAAGAGACCTCTTCCAGAAAATTAGAAACATTGGAGGTAAATTTCAGGCAAAAATTGGTATGATAAGAAACAAAGATGGCAGGGACCTAACAGAAGCTGAAGAGATCAAGAGAAGGTGGCGAGACTATACAGAAGATCTGTATAGGAAGGATAATAATATTGAGGATAGTTTTGACGGTGTGGTGAATGAATTTGAACCAGACATCCTGAGGAGTGAGGTTGAATGGGCCTTAAGAAGCATTGCTAACAACAAGGCAGCAGGAGACGACGGGATCCCAGCTGAACTGTTTAAAATCTTAAAAGATGATGCCGTCAAGGTGATGCATGCCATTTGCCAGCAAATATGGAAAACACAAGAATGGCCATCAGACTGGAAAAAATCAACTTATATCCCCATACCAAAAAAGGGAAATGCGAAAGACTGCTCCAACTTCCGTACAGTGCCCTTATTTCTCATGCCAGTAAGGTAATGCTCAAGATCCTGCAAGGAAGACTCCAGCAATACATGGAGCGAGAGTTGCCAGATGTTCAAGCTGGGTTTAGAAAAGGCAGAGGAACGAGACCAGATTGCCAATATCCGCTGGAGAATGGAGAAAGGCAGGGAGTTTCAGAAAAACATCTATTTCTGCTTCATTGACTATTCTAAAGCCTTTGACTGTGTGGATCATCATAAATTGTGGCAAGTTCTTAGTGGGATGGGCATCCCAAGCCACCTTGTCTCTCTCCTGAGGAATCTGTACAAGGACCAAGTAGCAACAGTCAGAACTGACCACGGAACAACAGACTGGTTCAAGATTGGGAAAGGCGTACGGCAAGGCTGCATCCTCTCACCCAACCTTTTTAACTTGTATGCAGAACACATCATGCGATGTGCGGGGCTTGATGAATGCAAAGCTGGGGTGAAAATTGCTGGAAGAAACATTAACAACCTCATATATGCAGATGACACCACCCTGATGGCCGAAAGCGAGGAGGAGCTGAGGAGCCTTCTAATCAAGGTGAAAGAAGAAAGCGCAAAAGCCGGTTGCAGCTAAACGTCAAAAAAACCAAGATTATGGCAACAAGAATGATTGACAACTGGAAAATAGAGGGAAAACGTGGAGGCCGTGACAGACTTTGTATTTCTAGGTGCAAAGATTACTGCAGATGCAGACTGTGGCCAGGAAATCAGAAGACGCTTACTTCTTGGGGGAGAGCAATGTCCAGTCTCGATAAAATAGTAAAGAGTAGAGACATCAGACTGGCAACAAAGATCCGCCTAGTCAAAGCCATGGTATTCCCTGTAGTAACCTACGGATGTGAGAGCTGGACCTTAGGGAAGACTGAGCGAAGGAAGATCGATGCTTTTGAGCTGTGGTGTTGGAGGAAAGTTCTGAGAGTGCCTTGGACTGCGAGAAGATCCAACCAGTCCATCCTCCAGGAAATAAAGCCCGACTGCTCACTGGAGGGAAGGATACTAGAGACAAAGTTGAAGTACTCTGGCCACATCACGAGGAGACAGGAAAGCCTAGAGAAGACAATTATGCTGGGGAAAGTGGAAGGCAAAAGGAAGAGGGGCCGACCAAGGGCAAGAGGGATGGATGGCATCCTTGAAGTGACTGGACTGACCTTGAGGGAGCTGGGGGTGGTAACGGCCGACAGGGAGCTCTGGCGTGGGCTGGTCCATGAGGTCACGAAGAGTCGGAGACGACTGAACGAATGAACAACAACAACAACAATTTTTAATGCTATTTTTTAGGAAAAAGTCAGTCTTTTGTTTTTTATGAATGCTCCCAGGAAATGCATGAGGATGTGGGTGAACTACGATTCCAAAATCATGGTCAGTCACCCCCAACCACCGCCAGTATTTAAAATTAGCCGTGTTGGATCTGCGTGCCATGTTTGGTCCAGATTCGTTGTTGGCTGGGTTCAGTGTTCTCTGAATACAGGTCAACTATAACTCAGTGATTCGAAGATCAATCAGTAGATTCGAAGGCCCTGTCAGTATTTGAAGTTGGCTATGTTGGGTCTGTGTGTCAAGTTTGTTCCAGATCCGTAATTGGTTCAGAGGGCTCTTTGGGTGCAGGGTGAACTACGACTCCCACCCAGGTAGGTCAGCCCCCCCCCCCCCAAAAAAATCCAATATATTCTGTTGGTCATGGGGGGGGGTCTGTGTGCCAAGTTCGGTCCAGGTCCGTCATTCATGGGGGTCACAGTGCTCTGTGGAAGTTGAAGGCCCGGCCAGAAAAATACTTTGCCGCATCACCGCCCACATACATACAAATATTCACTTTTATTAGATAAGATAGACAGATAGATATTGCTGGAGTTACACTTAAAAATGTACCTGTTCCGACTTACATACAAATTTAACTTAAGAAGAAGCATGCAGAAGCTATCTTGTCTGTAATCCGGAAACTGCCTAATTGCAGCTAGGGTAGAGAGATTCAAACAACTGCTTTATCTTCCGTCAACCATATACAAAGTTTTCTGCAAGTCAATATAGTTGGACATTTTTTCCTCTCTTCTTGAGAAGATACAAAGTGATAAGTCTCTTAGTTTCCATTGAAGCAAAGAGACAGTTAAGGCTTCATGGTTGAGACAGGCTTGAGATTAATGAAAGCATCTTTCCACAGCTTCAAC